GAACCATTAGATTTAATACCAATTTGAAGAAAATACCGCCGATTTATAAACTTAAGTAACTTGTGAACAAATAGCTAATATTTTTTTTATTACAAAATATACCAATCTATGAATTTCTTAAAAGAACACCAATATATTGCGTTAAAGCACCATAAATCAGAGTTCTGGCTAATCAGCTTGTGAGAGGGGAATACCGATTAACTCCGGGATCACCCGGGTAATACAGGTGACTTCGATACAGGAAGTAACTTTGTCTACACGGCTTCCTTATTATGAGAGTTTCCTTTATCTTATTTAAGTGAGTATGTCATAAATTTTTACTTATAATGACACCTATCATTGTGCCAATATATAAGAAAAAAATTCAATTTTATTCTGTAAAATATTATGGATAAATGTACGGAATGATTTGCAAAATTCTAAGACTTATGGTAAGACATTTTTCACACGGTTTGTCAAAAGGAGACTTGAATTTTCACTTAAATTCTAAAAGTAAAATTTTAGCAAGTTTATTTAATTTTTTTTTTAATTTTTCATTTTTGGAAAAAAATTAAGTATCAAATGGTTACGTGAACAGTGGATAAAACATTAAAATTCAAATTTCTTGGAGAAATAAGCAAGTTATATTAGCAAAACTAAACAGCTGAAGAAGGAAAAAGGTCAAGTACGTATTGCATTGAGTGCTAAACCAAATCAGGCCTATTTTTTTTAAAAATTCATTTTAATAATTTTGCATGTAAGTAACGATTGGGTGGAGTATGGCTGTAACACACATGCATATACTATATAACGTGCGTAATGTTAAATGTGTCGTATCTTCAAGAATTCACTGAGCCAATAATTTACGACAAACTGCAAAAACAGAATAAAGGAAAACAAACTTCATCTGTTTGACCTTATTCAAGTATTATTGATTAAAAAAAAATCTATTGTATGTCAAAAACCTGGGGGAGGAAACGGACTTTTTCAAAATCTGTCATTTTAAGGTACCAGTATATCTGTTGTTGTTTTTTCTCTCTTAACGAGGTTCGCTCCTGAGCTTTTGAGCAGATTTTTATTTTAACCTATATTTAAAAAAATTTGCGTAATGTTTTAATTCTTACAATAAGTTTGGATTCTACAATGCCAATTAAACTATATTCAGTTAAAACTCCATGATTAAATTCCATACCAAAAGCATTAAGTGAGGAACTTTATTTTGTGGCGGAAGGTTTTTTAGAAGAAAATGATCATTTTTTCTCTTTCGAAGTATTTAAAGTATGTTAAGTTTGGATTCCTATTTTTACATGCAGTCTGCACACAGAATTATTTTGAGCAGTGAACTGTTTTATACTGGTCCTAAATTATATATTTAATAAACTGTCATGAATTCAATCATTATATTTGATAAATAGATCAAATATATTGTGAAAATCAAGAAAAAAATAACCCTAATTTAAGCTCAAAATTAGCACTATTTTAGTAATATCTAAATTAACATCACAGACCCCCACTTTTAACTTTCTTTTCTGAATATACAAGATACTTTTAACCATTCTTCTTAAATTCAGTAAAATGTCATTACTTTTAAATGAGTTTTTTGCTTGTTAAATTTGTAATGCTAGCAAAATGAAATTTTTTGAGTGCAAAAAGGTCAAATAATTGAACGTGCGGAGTAATTAAAAAAAAATTTGTTGTCAAAAATTTTAATGGGTCTATTCAAGATGAAATAAGACTGTGTTTGTTCCCAAAACTTATTTGAATAAAAAATATCGGAGGAAAAACTTAAAAATTGATTTATGTGTAAGACGTTTTTACAGTGCAAAAAGGTCAAACTAAATGCTCTGTAGCGCCAAAAGAAGCGCATTGACCCCAATTTTTTGTTTTGATTTTTAATTAAGCTATATGTATAAATTCTAAAAATATACTTGATAAAAAATTCTCATTACTTTTGATGTCAGGATCCAACCTCCTTAATACATTGTATTGTGCTGAAAATTGATGCCAATTGCAAGTGGAGTCTTGTAGGGGAACATTGAGAATTTTCAACATTCAAAATACCCTGCATGAATAAACTTTCACATAATTTAAAGTATAGTTATAATTACTTATCTCTAAAATAGTACTGGAAATTCGTCAGAATCAAAAACTAATAATCTCATTTAAGTCCGTAAAATAGATACTGATTTATTGTGAACTTGTGTACATCCTTTGTCTTCACAATTTCGACTTCTCCAGAACCACTGTGTCAGTAATGAACATATGACGCAAAGTATCTCCAGTAAAGGGGGTTACTTTTGTTCTACTGAAGTCTCAGGTTTCCCTCTCCTGGCAGATGTACACTGAAGCGTTCTTGTATAGCATAAATTAAAGCTTATTTGAGTCATGGTCCCACGATAAGTTTTCTATGAAAATTTTCAAAAGTCTTAAGAACATGCAGCAATTAGAGTGTTCATATATTATACAGACATCTGTGGCAGTATAAGTTTGTTCAAATCATGACTCCCAAGTTTGACCCTAACATGAAATTAGTTTTGCACAGTTATGGAGAAATGCTCTTACATGTAATTTTCTTATTTTTCTTCCTTTTTTACGAAACTATATATCATAACTAATGTTGTAGATGAAATCAAAAGCAAATATTCTTAAATCTATAATGAACTGAGAAATTTGTTTCATAAACTTCTGATTACAGGTAAGTGTGCTGGCCTTCCATTCAGACATCTCATTCACCAGGTCTGTCTCCCATCGACACGAGACAGCGACAGGAAGGTTCTTCTGGCAAGGATTGGGGTCTCAACGACAATGTCGTGTTGACTTTGTTCCAGCTCTCCAGTGTCCTGCAACAACACACGAAAACTCGCCATTTTACGACAACGAATTTCTAGGGAAGCGCTCCACGTGTCCGTGGATTATGTGTCGAGATTCGGACTCACATCGTCAACCACGTGACATTTATTATGCCAAGTGCTTGTGTACTGGATGCAAAGGACAATCAGGCGAATACTCCTGTCAATCAATATATACGTCTGTGGTTGTTTCCAGGTTAACAAGTAGAGGTAACCATGACAATGTTATTCGTGTTCCTGTGGGATGTACTTGTGCTAAAAACAGGTAGCGGGGTGTGGTTTGGCAGAAATTCAACCCATCTTGCTTTAAACCAATCGGGTATCTCATGAATTAAAAATACATGTTAACTAAGTTGTCAGTATTATATTTGATGTCATATAAATTATATTAGTGATATATTTTTATATCAGTTATAGATTTTACAAATCGATACCATGATCTGATTGATTTCTATACTTAAAATCACAGTAAAACATATGAAAAGAAATTTCTTACTTGTATAATTTTGCAGATTTCTTATTTTTAAACTTCATTCGTCAGATATTATTTCAGTGACACTTTTTCGAATTTGAATAAATAATTCTTTATATCGATTTAGATAACCGGTGTTGCTTTCTTTATATAAAATACATGTAAAATAATATTATAAATCATTTCTTAATTTTACTCCTACAAGTTTAACCTGAATTGAATAAATTGGAGGAAAATATTAAGTTGTATAAGTCTGTGAATCTCTAAAATGTACAAAGTCATTTTAATATTTTATCTGTGTATCTTTATCTCTGATATAAATAAGGGAATGTTATTACTCCGCAGTAAAATGGAGGGAAGTTAAATAGGAAACTAATTTCCAAAGATTATTTAAACTCAAACCAATGTACAAACATCTAATCAGTGTTTGTACAGAGCAATGTAGACCCCGCCCTTTAGACTTGTTCTGATTGGAGGAGAGAATGTTTGCCTTTCTAGTAACTTTGGTTGACGACTTTTTCTAGCTGCCAATGATTTTGAATGAGGGATGATAAAGTGTTTATAGCTACTTATGGGAGATATTTAATTTCTTGCTTTTATTACTCATTTTAATGTAAATCGATAAAAAATTTTCCCTCTAGAAAAAGCCTAGCATTTACAATAGATCTCATAAAAAATAGATATGTATAATATTTTAAACGAAACCTAACACAATGTCATGCTAAGTTGTAATATATCAATAAGGGCATGATGAAGTGGCATTGTGCTGATCTGAAGTATGATTATATTGGTAATATTGTCAATTAGTTTAACTGGTATTATGTGAATGCATAAGCCTTTGAATAATTAATGACGATATTGGCAAATTAATCTAATAAGAATTCTCAGTAATAGTGGCGAATATATATACTAACAATGTACAAATGTTGCTTCATTGTTACGCTGTCAACCTATACCAAACACTGTACATCTCATATATCTGTATGCATCTGCATTGAAAACAAAAAAATAAATAAAAAGAAAATTCTTTGCGATGATTAAATTAATGGTGACTGGACTGTAGATCTAGAAATCTAATATTGGCGATGGACTAGGGATTTCCAAACATCCTTGTATGTCCTGCACGATCAATATAAACGAAAAGAAGATTTGATTTATACACAGGTTTTAAATTTCCTTTAAAGTGTGTGACATCGATTGGTGAGCTTTGGATGTTGTGGAAATTTTACTGTTTCTCTCGTTGATGATCGTTTTTCTATTTAAAAGAATTTAAGTGAAATATCAGCAATTATTGACTTCAACTGTGTGAAGAAATTCTAAGTAACGATTTATGTACAGAATAATGTGGCATTGTTAAAAAAAAATGGAGGAAACTTTAATAAGTATCTTACAACGGTTTAACCACAAAGTGTGTTTATTTTCTTGGTTTACAACTTTTGACCATATTAAACGAGCTTTTTAGGGTGCGTTTTGTGACTTTGAGATACTCTCTATTTCGTGACCCTTAAGAGTTCGAGCTTGAGTGTTGTTGACAACATTTGGAAGCTTTCATTGAAAATGTAAGCTTACACGTCAGGAAATTAAAATAATTTAAAAGAGATTCATGATTTCGTAAACAGAGCATTGCCCTTTCGTACAAAAGGAGTGTAAATCTTTAAAAGTCTGCCTGTTCGTCAACTCGATCGTTCACATTACCGAACATGTTGAGATACCTGCTACTTTCGCTATTTTGTGGTTATTCATTTGCACAAACAGGAACAAATATGAAAGATCTGTATACGTACTTATTCTCAACGTTAAATTACAACAAAGACATCCGGCCTGCCATTGTCCATACAGTTCCCACACAAGTAAGTGTAGATCTGACATTAAATGGGCTTCACTTCATCGATGAAGCAAAGCAACAGATGGTGTCGGTAGGAACTTTGACAATAAAGTGGAAAGATGACTTTTTAACTTGGAATTCGTCTTTATACGGAGGAGCAAATTTTATAGATGTTCCACAGGGAAAGGTTTGGAAACCGAATATACAGCTTCGAAACGGATTTAACGATTTTGTTGAGTTAGGTGGAAGTTTCATGTTTCTTAGAATTTTTCACACAGGTGATGTTGTTTGGTCACCAAATAAAGTTTTTGATACCAAATGTAAAATAGACGTGGCCTTTTTTCCCTTTGATCAACAGACATGCTCTGTTGAATTGATGTCTTGGAACAGCGATTTGTCCACAGTAAATATCACGAACGGTGTCAATGGATTAAGAATTGATGATGAATTGAACCATGGACACTGGTCGGTTTCCTCTCATTATTTTCGTACATTCCGTGATGACACAGACTCCGTAATATCTTTTAGCATTACATTGGACAGAAAACCAAAAATCTACGTTCTTAATATTATCATTCCCTTTGCTTTACTAGCAATTCTGAACCTTGCTACATTTATTTTACCAAATAGTTGTGGGGAAAAGTTGTCTTATTCAATTACAGTTTTGCTTGCCTTATCAATATTTTTAACAATTGTTGCAAGCATGCTTCCTGCTAATTCCGATTCTACATCGTATTTAGAAGTGTATATCGTTACTGTTGTTGCAAAAGGAGTATTTATTCTCATCGTGACGGCGATATCGCTAAGAATTCACGAAAGAGCAGACGATAGAGAAATACCTGGATGGATACAGAATTTGACACGGCGATCATGGAAGTTACATTGTCAATGTAAGAAAAATATAAATTCTAACGCAAAAAATTACAATGGCAAAACTAAAGTTGAGAATATTGATAAGAAATTGGAAGACAAAGGATCGTCATCAAAAGAAGTAAAACCTGTCCGCTGGAAAGACGTGACGTCCGCGCTTGACTTTTATTTGCTATGGATTTGTTTATTTGTAATGATAATATTGACATTTATCTTTCTAGGTTTATTTTCATCAAAGTAAACGATTAAAAGATTGAATGATCGAAAAAGTCTTGTCAAAAAAGCACATTAATGTAACAGATAACTTTCTAGTTGTGTTAAAAATAAGAAAGTTTTGTACTAATATCTGTTTTTCTATCACAGTGATAGAATACACACAGACACACATACACACACACTATATATATAGAGAGAGAAGAGAGAGGATATTCAATATTTTGTAGATGAATATGGAATTTATTTCACGAGTAGGACAGGATTTTTTGATATTTTCACGAGTGCGAAGCACGAATGAAAATATAAAAAAAAATCCTGTCTCACGAGTGAAATAAATTCCATATTCATTTACAAAACATTGAATTTTCTGTTTATTACATTTTCTTAGATTTTCCCTTTGCCTCTGTCTTTTCGTAACACAGTGTCATAGACTGTGACGGCATAGTTGAGCGTTTGAGACGTCATAGCTATTAAGCGATTGCGTGTTGAAAAAAGTTGTAATTTACATGGATTTTTTAAAGACATATTTGGAAAAACTTTGGCAGTATAACTGTTAGTCTCCGTCGGGATAATTGGCTCATTAACTCTATCTTATAACAGACCGGGGATTTTTTAAAAAAAACACTCTTCGTTAAGGGAATGAAAATCGTAAGATATTCTCACACTTTGACTGAGAATGCCATTTTGATATCCTGTCACACTGTGTCAGAATATCACTTTTATTCAGTAAATAAATTACAGTATTTCACTGTTGAAAACTATATATATATATATATATATATATATATATATATATATATATATATATATATATATATATATATATATATATATATATATATTACGGAAGCCCATTAGTGCCAACCTGTATATATGAAGGAAAAGCAATATATAAAAGTAAACCTCGATATATAAAGGAAATGCGAAATATATAAACAAAAGCTCGATATATATAAAGGAAATGCGAAATATATAAACAAAAGCTCGATATATATAAAGGAAATGCGAAATATATAAACAAAACCTGGATATATATAAAGGAAATGCGAAATATATAAACAAAACCTCGATATATATTAAGAGAAATGCGATATATATAAAGAGAAAATTTTCCACTGCGTGACCTGTGTCGCTCAGCTGTCCATCAAGATTATATACAGATTAACTCCTGGCAGGGGGAAATCAGTTTTACGGTGCTCTTGTATTACTTTCCCAGAATCAGCAGAATGGTGCTATTTAATAGTTTTTGTTTATTTATACATGCATGTATATATCGATGAATTGTAATTGTAGCATTACTTAATATAATGCATTTAATTGAGTAGATGAGCATTTAATTATGTATTCATGAAATAAGTATGTTTATAGTATTTACTGTGTATTTATTGGCTTTACATGTATTTGATCAACTTCCTTTTTACAACTACTGTACCTTGTTACTGTTTTACAAAAATTTAGCCGTATCACAACCGAGAATTTATGAAAATAATGTTAAACATGGACTCTTAACAAGTTAAGTTTTTAAATACCCTAATTCAAATTAATTTAAATCTATTATAAAAATAATATACTTAGTCTAGTATATCCCCATTGGTTTCAAAGAAAGTGGCTCCCATCAGCCACGTACCTCAAATCACTTGACTCACTTGACTTGATGGGAGCAACTTTCTTTGAAACAAATACTGGCACATTCTTAGTAAAGATAAAAACTGCAATGCGATTTTCTCTGAATTGCCTATTGTGTCATATAAACGCAATAAAAATTTGGGTGATATGATCACCTCCTCACTAATTAAATAATCTGTATAACAGATGTGCAAATAGGCTCCTGATGATGGCGGATTTGCAGCTAAGTAATAAAATGTAAGAAATTAAAAATCATAAACCTCGTATCACACCGCCGAAACACTAAATTAGTGTCGAGTCAAGTGATTTAAGGTACGTGGCTGATGGGAGCTTTCTTTGAAACTAATTTCAGTATTAACAACCAAAGAAAGCATTTTATTGTTTAAATAAAACATTATATCACAGACATGCATTTTGCACTGAATTATATTTCAATTGAAAATACCCAAAAATTTTATTGCCATGAAATGAACATATCGAGCAAAAAAGTTTTGATTTTATTCTGCCCAATTTGAAATGTGAGAATAAAGCGTCTTATTTATAAACTTTAAATTAATTTAAATCATCATATTAAGACACATAAAGAAAACGCAATACACTGAAAACCATCCTGATAATTTCTATCAAGTAATATCGATTATATGTTTATAATATCATTTTTTTTATTAAACACTGTTCAAGGGGCTGGGCACAGATTTGAAGCTCATATTTTCTAAAATTTTATAAATAATATCATGATTTATATGTTGCTAGAGCATTTCACTCTGAAATATACTACATGTATAAGTGTGTTTAAAAACTTCTTTTATCTTGAAATTATTAAAACTACGAATTTCGGAACGCGTTTGATTGACATTTATCCTTGCACTTTCACAAAATAAACTTTATACATGATAGTTATATAAGGAAAGAAGAAATTTTGTTGCGTGTTTATTAAAATATGAAAACTATAATCCTGAAAGTTCAGAGAAGTATTCGAGAAAGCAAAACCAACTCATAAGTATTGTCAGTCGGTGCTCAGTGATGTGTGTAGACTAAACAGATTGAACGATTTGTTACCGTTTTGCACACATTTGAATTTCAGGTATTGGAAAAATGTATGCAAAACAGGAATTTATCCAGGTAAGATAATTACTTAATTGTTATAGTCTATATCATAGTTGTGAATTTGGAGAAAGAGAATCTACGGAAAGAATAGGAAGAAAAATGATTAAATTTTGCATTTGATATTTTGATTTATTTCTTTATTTTCATGATAAGAAGAAACTATAATAAAACATTAAAAATATCGAAGTATCAAAAATTACTAGTCAAAACTATAATTATATTCAATTGATTATACATATCTCTGGTGAGTACACCCGATAGACCGGAGGAAATTCATAACGCTCCGGATTTCTTTGTGTACAACTGTTTATAAATTTCAAATTAAAAATGTAACACTGTAAATATTTAGTGTTTGGTAGTTTAGTAGTAGTGCTAGTTTTTGTTTCTCTGTTTCCTTTGTTTTTATGACCTCTTAACTTTTTTCTTTGTCCTGAGGAAGGGACAGGTCGTCCCGAAAATTTGACAATTTTTATTGTTCGTGTCGTTGGTCATTTTTAGTGCTTTATATATATATATATATATATATATATATATATATATATATATATATATATATATATATATATATATATATATATATATATATATATATATATATATATATATATATATATATATATGTATTACAGCTACTGCTCTATATCTTATTATGAAACGTATGCAACCACAAATTTTTTCTTTTGATGAAATATTTTAACAATCAAATTAAATGTAAATTGTAAATTACAGTTTTTAATTAATGCAATGGATATACAGAGAACGTCAATTAAGTGGATGGTTCCGATCGAAATCAATTAACGCACTTGACGGGGCGATTACATTAAGTTCTCCAGGGACTGTATTTCTCATGGTGATACATATGTTATAGTTTTATATCAGTAATTGATATCTAGAATGACTGCTTCCTACACCAAGGTGACTTTTACCACTTAACTTCCCACAAGAGTCATTTCGCTCCGTAACAGGGGTCGCTCACCACATAAATCAAAATATATGATGATACGTATACATGTTAATGCATATCCTAATGCCAATTATTTTGTAAAATGAAATATGCTACAGTGAAACAAAACAGAATTCCGATTTGCTAGATAGGTAGGCTAAATCATCTTTTACATTATTCTCTTTAATATTTTACATGAACTAAAAGTATAAATCTTTTTTTCAATTTAAATCAGGATTACTTTTTTAATTGCTATATTTTTGCTATTCTTTCAGAAAAAGTATGTGTTCTAATTTCAATTTTATCGCTGAAAAGTATAATTAATTTTAATTTCTTAAATTTATTTATAGATTATGTAATATCAGGTACACAGTCAGTCAAGGACCTAATACGGAGTCATACAGGGTGTGAAATGGAAATCCGCATAGAGCGAGGCGAAGTGTTCTCAGGATTTATATAGCGTAAGCATACTATGCCGATATGGAGCACGGCTTCTGAAAATCCGACATTACCCACGCCAGAGATCGAACCCACGATCCCGAGATCGTTAGCCCGACGTGCTACCGATGACGCCCCAGCCGTCATCTAAAACATCGTCTTTTAATGTATATAAAGGTTATTTTATATATTTGACGCTTAAAGAAAACATTAACAGTCAAGGTAGTTTTTTCTAAAATAGTTTCATGTAACATTTTCCCATTTACTCAACTCAATTCTTTGTAAAAATATCTGTATATTATACCTAACTACATGCATGAAGCACAACGTGACGTCATACTATGGATATTTTTTGTATAACTCCCTGAAGAGTTGAAGAGCCTAACAGGCCAAAGTGCTTGTAGTAAATATTCTGTGTAATTTTTTTTGGATATATAGCTACCTATTGCGAACTGCGAAGCAGTTTATAAAAAAAAGTGTAAACTAGCTTTTCCAACCCAGTTTATACCGTGAAATATATGGAGATGACGAACAGTATTCAAGATCGAAAGTCCATTCAAATAATACAGATCAGGAGCAGAGCAAACACGGACCTCAAAAACATCAGAGGTGGGATCAGGTGCCATGGAGAAATGACCATCCCCTGCCGACCGGTCACACCCGCCGTGTGCTGAGCTCCTTGTCATGATCGGGAAATAACGGGAAAATCATAAAGCGTTGTTGTTAGAATACCATTGACATCTTTTTCTTGTAAAATATTCCGACATGAAACAGACTCTGTGGTATCTTTTATTTCAAGCTCACTGGGATATATCGTGTCGACATATGAATGGAAATAACTATTGTTAATTGATAATACGTCGCCGAAATATTTAAATGTTGAGTTGAAGACCACAACAAGAGATTTCTTT